ATATTTTAATACTATAATTATACATATATGGCAACTATGTATGTTTCAAATTTAAATTCACTAAGAGAAAAGAAAATAAATCTTATTCTCCTTCAAATCTGAATTAATTTGAAGTATTGAAAAATATCCTTTTCAGCATTATTTGAATTTTAGAACGGAAGATCCTGGTTAACAGAAAACATATATTTTATACCCGCTGATAANTTTTTTAGATTTTTAGGTCGTTTAGATTGGTTGCATTGTTTCGATTGTGTTAGATTGATTAAATTGTCTTTACAAAGTATGTTTTTACTGTGTCAATTCTGTTTGCAGTAAAATTGTTAAATTTAAAATTGTAATTGCACTGTTTCCTTTGAAGTCATATTTTTACAGATATTAGCAAGGTATGCTTTTTTTAAGCAGAATAGTTGGGTGAAAAGACATACGGTGATACAAAAAAGTTTTGGCAATTTAAATGCGTTCTAATGGTAGCGTGTGGCGCTCTCTAGAAGCTACAACGAAATCGTCGACAAATTCGAATTTGTGTAGTGATACTATTACGTGTAGGAGAGTACAAAAATAAAGATCAGTAGTTTACAACAGATTGATCCCCTTATCCACCTTCCCCAAGAAGCCTGACCGCCCTCTGCGTTAGGAGGAAATAAAAGCCATCATGACTTCCCCATTAATTTTCGTCGTAGAATCTAGTGGTAGAATTTGTCCCATTTTTTAACGGACATCCTGTATAACTGACTTTGCTGAGGTATATTTTTGTTATTTAAAAAACTACATACGGCAACTATGTATGTTTCAAACTTTAACAACTAACAATAAGAAGAAAGAAAATAAATCTTATACGCTTTCAAATCTGAATTAATTTAGTATTGAAAAATGTCCTTTTCAGCATTGTTTGAATTTTAGAACGGAAGATCCTGGTTAACAGAAAACACATATTTTATACCCGCTGATAACAACCCTAAAGTACTTATGGGCTTTTTCGCTGGGGAAATGGTTCCTGAAATAGAACAAGAATCCAATGAAGTTCTTTCGGCTGGTTGCATGTACATGTTTAGAAAATTCCTGGGTAAAACACATAACAATATAACCGACCCAGACGATATAATTAAGTAAGTTAGTTTTTATATAAATATTTAATAAAGGAACAAAAGAAACAAAAATAATATATAATTAAGTTAATTCAAATCAAGTCTATTCTCATCTAATGAAATCTTGTGCTTTTTGACACCAATATAGTAAGCTTGGGTGTTTACTAGATCTGATATTGCAGTGTAATTCAATACTAGATTCGCAGGTCCTATAATGTTATTAGTAATTAGTCTTTGCATACCTAGATGTTGTTTCTTGCATACCTAGATGTTGATGTTAAAGAGCTTATAGGACTTCATCAGATAACAATTTTAGAAAAATTTTTATGTTAAAGCAAAAATACAAATATGGAAAATGTGTAATTTTCTGTTAACAGCCTTTTAATTTTATGAATACCATTTTTTAACAGTAGCTAAACTGCAGAATTCAAATTTTTTTCTAATTTTCAAAATTTTTGAATAATTAACTTGTTTAATGAAAATTTCGAAAAGGTAATTGTTAAAAAAAATTAGGTATATTCTTTAAATTTTAATAAAGCAGGTTTAGAATCATATAGTGGCTTAAAGCAGTTCTGGAATGTTAAGTATGCACACATTTTTTCCGTTGTTCATAAAACTCCTCCTTTCAGATCGATGTGGTACAGCAATCCCCATTTTCGTGGAACATACTCCTACGATTCTGCCAAAAACACCGAACAAGGATTACAGAATAAATTAGCAGCACCCTTGTTACGTAAAAATGGAGACCCAGCCATACAATTTGCTGGAGAAGCAACTCATCCATATCACTTCTCCACTGTCCATGGAGCTATCGAATCTGGGTACAGGGAAGCTGATAGATTGATACATTATTACGCCCAACATTAGGAATATTTCTCTTTTCATTGGTGTATATTAAATTAAAAATTAAATGATTTATTTTTCTTTTGAATTTGTTTACAAAAACAAACACTATAATATTTAATTCCTCTTCCTCTCCCAATTCTAATCCTAATTTTTTAATGCTAATTTGCAATTGTAATTTTCTTAATCCCTCTATTACACATCAGCTAATTGACAATTAGCATGGTCATACATACATCAAGATATAACAATAGCAATAGCAAAGATCTTTTTATCGTGGTGCCAACCAAAGTTTCCCTCAATTTCGGTGTAATAGATTTTGAACGAAGATGACGTCAACTTCCAATAGAACCGGAAGCGTTAGGTGGAGACCATTATTTTAATTGAGAAGGGCATACCCGAAAACATTATTTCCCAAATTATCAAAATTAAAATCGAGGTAGTCTCTGAAATATGGCTAATGTCCTGTCACCCTGGGATACCCTGTATTTTCATTTCACCAAAGTTTTAATAGAAAAATACCTGACCTCAGATACGTGGTTTGTACATAAAATAACAGAACTTTTTGAATTACGCGCTAATGGAGATATTTAGTGATATCTTGTTGGAAGCACTGCGTTGCGCAAAACCTCATATCTTCTTGGATTGTTGATATCTCATTTAGCTTTCGTGATATTGGTATTTGAGTGCAACGTGTTAAAGTGTTAAACTATCTGAAATGTCTCTTGTTTCGGAGATCTTGGAAATAAGACTGTTTTGGATATTTTACTTAACTAAAGTATATTTAGTAATACGTTGACAATCTTAGTGTCTACTTTATAAGGAAGATCATAAGTAAGTTCTTACTTTGCCCTAGGTATAATTATCATTAAGTGTTGATGACCGGTGATTCTGTACGGTTCAAGAAATTCCAAATCCCAATCCTCTTAATTGTATCAATACAATAAATGTATTATAATATATTAATATGGTTATAATTTGTACCTGGATAAACCCGGACCCTTCAGTTATCCCTCAATTTAAAAATGTAATTATGTTTTGGATTCAGGATTTTCTTAGACTAATTCCTTTACTGCTTAATTATTTAGGTAAATAAAAATACATATAGTTTATAAGTAAAAATAAATGTTACGACGTAACACTAACTTAGAACTGATGCTACACGAGTTCCCTGATCCAACCCAACAATTACCAATTGCTTATAACATCCTTTTGAACAGAGAAGTCAATAGAATCACTTGGAACAACAATACGAGCCAAGTTCAAGTTCTTTGTCTTGACAACACCACCTGGCTACTTATACCTTCGCATCTGCTTTAGGAGTTTTAAAAATCAATCATCTAAGTTTGTTTGAACCTGCATTGCCAGAGGCAAAGGTAAGATCAATAATAAATATTGGTTTTGGGGCTATTATGAAGATTATTTTACACCTTCCTCATATCTGGTGGGACACTACACAACCTTATCCATTTATTTTGAATGAGAAAGAATTGTGACTAAATTTGAAAGAGGACCGGTAAGCGGAAGTATCTGATACAAACAAAACCAATAATATTAGTGTGCCTGAAAGATATATTTATGGTTCTTATGTTTTGTTCAATAAATAAGATGTTTCTACACTAAGTATATCGAAACTGAAGAAGCTAATGACATTTTTAGAGCGGAAGATCATGGTTAACAACGAACGTCGTTTTCTTTACTACTGACCGGAATCCAAAAGTCCTCAAAGGCTTTTTCTCTAGAAAAATGATTCCCAAAATGGAACAAGAAGCAGATGAAGTTCTCACAGCTGGTTACATGTATAATGTTTAAAAAGTTTGTAGGAGCAACATTTAGCAATATAACCGATCCAGATGGCATGATCAAGTAAGTTGCTTAATAAATATTTAACTAAAAAAGAAGAACCACGAAAAATTGAAACTGATTAGAAACGATTTATTGTTACACAGTTACATCACAGGTTATATCTATGAAAATGATAGCATCTTTGACAAAACGTACAATATTGTCACGTGGGATCAGTCATGAGCCAATTACGTTCGGCTAGAGAAAGATAGCATTTACCTTCAGAGCAGCTATCTCTTTCTTCGCCTTGTAACCTGCCCGGCTGTTGGGAGGGGCAGGCTACCTCTTGAATACTGTATGTGCTCGAAGGCTAGCACACATACTTCGCTAGTTGACATACATAATTTATATTTTATAATTAACAGACTTAATTAAAAAAGAAACGATATTACAAATTTTGATAACGGGAAATGATTGATTAATTTTTTGAAACGTTAAGTTGTAGACCCTGGTGTAAGAAGAAAATAAGCGCAAATATGAAAGTTGTTAAGAAAAGGAAAATGATTTTGTTTAAGTTAATATTTTTTGTTGTAGTATTTGGCTAAATATAACATTTGTACATAATTAGAGTGAAATATTCGAATAAATAATGATGATATGCCAAAAAAATCATATATGATTTATTATGACACATTTATGATGCAACAATGTGTTATTTTTTAATTTTAAATTTAGCCCAGGTGGAAGAGAATCCTTTAATCTATTGGAATTTGTTACCATAAACTTCTAAATCAAAAAGGAATTTACATTGACGCTCTAAAAAATTTCATTTAGGCTGTTTTTTTTCAACTGCGAATCAGTTTAAACAATTACATATTCGTTTGTCACCTTCTTATACCTACATTTTTAGATTCAGATTAATTGACAAATAAATTTATTAGGAGGTGAAAAAATCAGTTCTTATCAAAATTAATGCTAACATTTAGTCTGAGCTTACGTTTATAGAAACTATTATCTGCTATACAGTTACATAGCACATATTATGTTTATCAAATAAATAATACGTCATAGAAACTTAATTTAAAAATAATGTTTTTTATTTATCTCTTGCACCATATCTTTAAAAAATTGACCTTTGCCACAGGTGCCAGAGAAACTTAGTTAAAAATAATGTTTTGTGTTTAACTCTTGCATCATATCTTTAAAAAATTGACCTTTGCCATAGTTGTAGCTTCTCATAAATCTACCCACACTAGGATATTCAGTTCATTATTAGATGTTCATAAATAGATGAATTTACTTCGCCCATCTGAAATGTCAGTGAAATGTATTATTCTGCTAGTGACCAACTACTTTTTATATACCCACGGCCTAAATAAAAATCCTTCCATTCTCATAATTGGTGCTGGACCTTCAGGAATAGCTGCAGCGAGTAGACTATGGAAAAACAATTTTACTAATCTAAAAATTCTCGAGGCTGAAAACAGAATAGGTGGACGTATCCATAGTGTTAAATTTGGAGATGCCTATCTCGACTTAGGTGGTGAGTGGTGTGATGGAGAAAAAGGTAATATTGTCTTTGAAATGGTAAAGCAGTACGATATTTTGAGGCATACAAGCTTTTCCATGCACGTGTACTATTCGAATGGTATTTTACTCGACCAAGAAATCTATAATGGTCTGGCGCAGTTTGCTGGGTCCATGTATGCTTCTTTGAACAAAACAGAGGTTGAAGAAAAATGTGGGAATTTTTCTTCCGTTGGAGAATGTTTTGATAGTCAGTAAGTCAGACATAATTTATTATGAAGCCACAGCTATTTTATTAGATGTACTGTCTGGTTGAAAACATAACTCATTCGGGTCTTTGAAACGTAACTAACAATGGTACAAATGTAGTCACACCAATGAATTAAACTTTTTAAGGATTACTTGCACTACTCATGTCATTACATCTCTCTACTCAAAAGATCTGCTAGCTTCAGGATGTGGAACTGATCGCAAATTCAACTTTCAATAACGTAACTTTTTCTAATGTAGACTAATTCTTAGTAAATATATCTTGTCCATCAATTCCTTATTAATTTGGCTTAATAATTCTTTCACAATTGCCATATTGTACACTGTAGGTAATCGAATAACGATGCACATGTCCTTTACAGGTTCAACACAACATTTGCTGAATTGTACCAAAATAATTCTATGCAGACCATCATTACAGACGCCAAGAGTTGGCTAGAGGGCTATGTTTTGGTCTTCGATAGCGCTTTTACTTTATACGATATGTCACGAAAATCTGCTTATGAGGAATGCGAAGGAGACCTGGGATTAAACTGGAACGGTAGAGGCTACAAAACTATCTTAGAAGTGATGCTGCAGCAGTACCCTGACCCAACCCAAGAACTGGCAGTTGTCAATAACATTCTTTTGAACAAAGAAGTTACAAGAATAATTTGGAACAATAGTGCGAATCAAGTTCATTGTTTGGACAATACCACTTATGCAGCTGATAATGTGATTTTCACAGCTTCTTTGGGAGTTTTGAAGGCCAGTCATGAGAGTTTGTTTGAACCTGCATTACCAGATGAAAAAGAAAGGGCGATAAGAAGTATTGGCTTTGGGGCTATTATGAAGATTATTTTACATTTTCCTCATACTTGGTGGGACACTGCACAACCTTATGCATTTATTTGGAGTGCAGCTGACAGAAAAAAAATTCTGACTGAAGTTGGTAAAGGACCAGTAAGAGTAAGTATTTCTAAATAATTTGGACCGAACAATCTTTGATAAAATTAACAAGAAATTATTAATTAGTATTTTCTTGAAAAAAAAAGCTTTTATTATCTAAGTTTATTTTGATTTTGTTTCCCAAACAAATAAATAATAAATATTCTAATACTACAGGGTGTCCCGAAATGAATGCAACAAAATTTGGTCACAGATTCTTAAGACAAATTTAGGAGACTCGTATTTTTTATTTTTGGCAAGTGGCCTCCTCTTTCGGAGTTCAGCCTCCTGAAATCCGCCCCTAAGAATAATCTTTTTTTATATCTCAGAACCATGTTGTACTAAATTTCGTACACAGGGGTTTCATGACATGTGGAATCTGATTATGCTACGCTTAAGACAATTTTCCGTGGGCCCCCTTGTCTGGAGCCAAAAAAATTTGATGACATATTTAAATTTCTTAAGAATTATCAGTCCACTAGAAAGCCATTTTGTCTCTTGATGCTTTTTTCGTAAAACGTAATGTTTTCGAGAAAAATCTCAAAATATGCTCGAATGCATATCGTGATTCGCAATTTTCCTCAAAAACATCGCGTTTAATGAATAAAATATAGAGAGACAAAAAAGTTTCTAAATTCAATGGCTTTCTAGCTAACTAATAATCATTTTTAAGAAAATCATATTTACCAACAAATTTGTTGGCTTCCTAAGACAAGGGATAATAAATTCGAATCTGTCGTCGATATCGTTGTATGTTCTAGAAGACGTCTCAAGTGACCACCGTGTATTTCACTTTGGGTTGAAAAAATCTTTTCCACCAACTTTTCTGCTTAAAAAAAGGTATACCTTGCAACCGTTTTCAACAAAAAGGCATTTAAATTTGTAAATACATGAAAAAAATTGTTTAAGTTATTTTCAGCTCCACTGATAAACATTAAAAAACATATCTTTTAAGACATGTCAATAATAACACAGATCAACAAAAATTTTTTTTGGAAGCAGAAACTTGAATATATATTTCCGAAGGATTTAGGTGCGCTGAATCCGAATCTGGCAGCAGAATTGCTCTATCACGTCAGGTTTTTTAGATATCCTAACCTAAAAATGTAAAAAACACTGTTTTTCGTCATATTTGAGGTTATGTAGTAATGTCATCTATTCTTTTTAAAAAAAATACATATAACTTAAAAGTACAAGGCTCTCTCTTTCGACTGCCGTTGAGTTTGCTCAAATATCTTTTTTTTCGTTGAGATATACTGAGGATCCCTTAGACATCAAGCAGTCGATTGCAATTCAGAAACTTCATACCCATACGGTTTGTGGGTTTGGAGTTGGTGGGCTTGGGGTTTGTAAGTTTGGAGTTTGTAGGTTCGGGTTTTGTGAGATTGGGGTTTGTGGATTTAGGGATTGTGGGTTTGGGGTTTGTGGGTTTGTGAATTTGGAGTTTGTGAGTTTGAGTTCGTATGTATTGAAGGTTTCTGAGTATGAAGTTTCTGAATTGCAATCGACTGTTTGATGTCTAAGGGATCCTCAGTAGATTTTCGCATATTAAGAAACTGAGAAACTTAAAAATTTCAACATGTGATATCTCAACGAAAAAAAAAAAAAGATATTTGAGCAAACTTAACGGCATTCGAAAGAGGGAGCCTTGTACTTTTAAATTATATGTATTCTTTTGAAAAAGAATAGGTGGCATTACTACATAACCTCAACTATGACGAAAAACAGTATTTTTGCACTTTTAGGTTAGGATATCTCAAAAACCTGACGTGATAGAGCAATTCTGCTGTCAGATTCGAATTCAGCGCACCAAAATCCTTCAAGAATGTACATTAGTGTGTCTGCTTCTTGACCCTTGTTGACCTGTGAATTAGTTAAGTTTTAGATTTTTAGGTCGTTTAGATTGGTTGCATTGTTTCGATTGTGTTAGATTGATTAAATTGTCTTTACAAAGTATGTTTTTACTGTGTCAATTCTGTTTGCAGTAAAATTGTTAAATTTAAAATTGTAATTGCACTGTTTCCTTTGAAGTCATATTTTTACAGATATTAGCAAGGTATGCTTTTTTTAAGCAGAATAGTTGGGTGAAAAGACATACGGTGATACAAAAAAGTTTTGGCAATTTAAATGCGTTCTAATGGTAGCGTGTGGCGCTCTCTAGAAGCTACAACGAAATCGTCGACAAATTCGAATTTGTGTAGTGATACTATTACGTGTAGGAGAGTACAAAAATAAAGATCAGTAGTTTACAACAGATTGATCCCCTTATCCACCTTCCCCAAGAAGCCTGACCGCCCTCTGCGTTAGGAGGAAATAAAAGCCATCATGACTTCCCCATTAATTTTCGTCGTAGAATCTAGTGGTAGAATTTGTCCCATTTTTTAACGGACATCCTGTATAACTGACTTTGCTGAGGTATATTTTTGTTATTTAAAAAACTACATACGGCAACTATGTATGTTTCAAACTTTAACAACTAACAATAAGAAGAAAGAAAATAAATCTTATACGCTTTCAAATCTGAATTAATTTAGTATTGAAAAATGTCCTTTTCAGCATTGTTTGAATTTTAGAACGGAAGATCCTGGTTAACAGAAAACACATATTTTATACCCGCTGATAACAACCCTAAAGTACTTATGGGCTTTTTCGCTGGGGAAATGGTTCCTGAAATAGAACAAGAATCCAATGAAGTTCTTTCGGCTGGTTGCATGTACATGTTTAGAAAATTCCTGGGTAAAACACATAACAATATAACCGACCCAGACGATATAATTAAGTAAGTTAGTTTTTATATAAATATTTAATAAAGGAACAAAAGAAACAAAAATAATATATAATTAAGTTAATTCAAATCAAGTCTATTCTCATCTAATGAAATCTTGTGCTTTTTGACACCAATATAGTAAGCTTGGGTGTTTACTAGATCTGATATTGCAGTGTAATTCAATACTAGATTCGCAGGTCCTATAATGTTATTAGTAATTAGTCTTTGCATACCTAGATGTTGTTTCTTGCATACCTAGATGTTGATGTTAAAGAGCTTATAGGACTTCATCAGATAACAATTTTAGAAAAATTTTTATGTTAAAGCAAAAATACAAATATGGAAAATGTGTAATTTTCTGTTAACAGCCTTTTAATTTTATGAATACCATTTTTTAACAGTAGCTAAACTGCAGAATTCAAATTTTTTTCTAATTTTCAAAATTTTTGAATAATTAACTTGTTTAATGAAAATTTCGAAAAGGTAATTGTTAAAAAAAATTAGGTATATTCTTTAAATTTTAATAAAGCAGGTTTAGAATCATATAGTGGCTTAAAGCAGTTCTGGAATGTTAAGTATGCACACATTTTTTCCGTTGTTCATAAAACTCCTCCTTTCAGATCGATGTGGTACAGCAATCCCCATTTTCGTGGAACATACTCCTACGATTCTGCCAAAAACACCGAACAAGGATTACAGAATAAATTAGCAGCACCCTTGTTACGTAAAAATGGAGATCCAGCCATACAATTTGCTGGAGAAGCAACTCATCCACATCACTTCTCCACTGTCCATGGTGCCATCGAATCTGGATACAGGGAAGCCGACAGATTGATACATTATTACGCCCAACATTAGGCATATTGCTCTTTTCATTGATGTATGTACATATTTTTACAATTAACAGCAATTAAACAACTTCTTCTTTAATCTTGATACTGTTTATTTTCTTTTCGAATACACTATCATTTACGACCTTATTTTGTACATGACATTTTATTCAATTTCTATTTTTATACATAACAATCAATATTAACTAAAAGAAAGAAAACGTTATTAAACGATTTATTTTTCTTTTCATTTTCTTTATAAAAACAAATACATATAATTTTTAATTCCTCTAACTCTCCCATTTCTAATCCTAAGTTTTTGATACCTACTAAATTGCAATTGTCTTAATCCCTTTGTTGACATATCAGCTAATTGACAAATAGCATGGTCACATACATCAAGATAGAACAACAACAAAGATCTTTTTGTCGTGGTGCCAACCAAAGTTTCCCTCAATTTCGGTGTAATAGATTCTGATTATATTTTTATTTTGGAATTGGTCACCAAAAGTTTTAATAAAAAATACCTGACCTCAGTTAAAGATGCCAAGGAAAGTCTTCGACTTCAACTGATGACTCCCATATTCAGAAAGTCAAAGGTCTGGTGTGTACATCGTCGACAGACTGTCAGAGAAATTGCAAAACAGGTTAGTATCTCATTTGGTCATGTCATGAAAATTTGACTGAAAAATTGAACATGCATGGAGCTGCAGCAAAATTTATTCCCCGTTTGATGACCGAACAACAGAAAGAAAAGCCTGTGGACGTTTGTCAGCAACTCCTTGATCATTCCAGTGAGTTTAAGGAACCTTTGTCTAACATTTGCCTATAACTCCGTCAATTATTTTTACTTCAAGTGTTAGTAGTTGAAGGTTAATACAACCTCTTTGAGGTCATGCTTTTTCCAAAATTCGAAGAATTTTCTACTTGGCAACCCCGCACTAAACCAAATGTTAAACTGTTTATATTGCCATATATAGAATTTTCTCAGAAATCCATATGTTTAAAAATATTCAGGGTGTTCCATTTAAGACATGTAATATTTGTATATTTTAAATTAATTTTATAGTTTAGGTTTCTTGATACTGTACATACAACTTTTATATCAACTTTTTCACTGTATTATGAATAACAAGGGAGTTATTTTACTTTCTCACACTAATGGTCCACCTTGTATATCTTCTATATTCTTAATCATATATCTATAGAATCTCTATTTTTGGATGAACTTCAAAATTCCGTTTGTATATCTCTATTCAATTATAAATCATCAACTTGTGTTTTCTTTACAATTCTCTCTAAAATTATCTTCACAACAGCTGGTGTAACACAATTTAGCAATACTTCATAAACAACAAATTAATGTAAATAAATAAATTATGTAACAAATTGAGATCCGCATTTATTTTGACCTTTGCCAGATTTGTCTTTACTCCAGATAAAAACAGGCGTGCCTTCTACTGATTGTGAATTAAAATAGTACACTGTTCGGTACAGATTTTTTTAAATTTGTACAAAATGTTGAATAACAATTTACTGTTAATTCCAATTTTATTCCTTCCAGTTACTAACGCGCGATATAACCCATCCATTCTCATCATAGGAGCGGGACCATCAGGCATTGCAGCAGCCACGAAGTTACTCAAAAACAATTTTACCAACTTGAGGATATTTGAAGCCGAAAACAGAATCGGCGGTAGAATACGAAGCGTTAAGTTCGGTGATTCCTTTATTGATTTGGGTGCTGAATGGTGCCATGGAGAGAAAGATAATATTGTGTATGAGATGGTAAACCAGTACGATGTGCTGATGCATACGAATTTGTCATATAAATTAGTTTATTCCAACGGCAAGTATATTGATGATGAAGTGTACCAAGGTTTGCTAGATTTCGCTGAAAACATCGACGCTTCGGTAACAAATGAAGGGACTGAGAAGAACTGCGGGAATTTAGAGTCCGTAGGAGAATGTTTTCAAAAATTGTGAGTTTATTTTAGTTGATTAGGTACTTATTATTAGAAATTCCGTATCAAAATAGCTGGATTATGATCGTATTAGGTATCTATATGGCCTTATACCTTAGAACGTTTTATTATTTTTCAGTAAATTATATTCACTTAACTTTTACCCATATTTTCAGATTCAATGCCAGTTTCTCAAAAAAATACAACACGGAACCACAAAAACTGAGGGTTAGCTTAGATTCAAAAGATTGGTTGGAACATTATACTGCTCTCTATGACAGTACCTTCTCATTACTAGATCTATCTCGTAAGTCGGATTACAAGAGATGCGAGGGCGACTTGAGACTAAATTGGAACGGACGTGGGTTCAAAACCATACTAGAGTTGATGATGCAAAAGTTTCCTGATTCTTCAAAGCAACTACCCATCGATAACAAAATTTTCCTCAAAAAAGAAGTCACCAGAATCTCATGGAAAGGGAATAGTACGAAAGTTTTAGTTCGTTGTTTCGATGACACAACGGTTGAGGTTGACCACGTCATTTTTACGCCGTCTTTGGGTGTGTTAAAAGCTAGTTATAAATCTTTGTTTGAACCTTCACTACCTGCTGACAAAGTTGCTGCTATAAGGAATTTTGGTTTCGGAGCAACTTTTAAAGTTGCGTTCCACTTTCCAAAAACTTGGTGGAATGCTAGTGAACTTTACGGATTCGTTTGGAGTTCCGACGACGAAAGAAGAATTATCGCAGATTTTCCTGAAGGACCAATTAAGGTAATTTCATCATTTTGAACATCATTTTATTTTGTTCAAACATGACTTCAATTTCTAGAATGGAAAATCTTGGCTGACAGCTTCAGTAAAATTCTTCCAAGCTGAAAATAATCCGAAGGTACTGATTGGCTTCTTCGCTGCAGAAATGGTGCCAGAATTGGAAAAAGAATCAGATAAAGTAATAACAGATGGCTGTATGTATCTATTCAAGACATTTTTAGGTGCAAACTATACCGTCCTTGAGCCAGATGCCATTATAAGGTAAATATGAAAGCAGATTGTTTAGTCTGAAATTTTATACTATATTTTTAGATCTTCTTGGTACAACAATCGGCATTTCCGTGGTACCTACTCATACGAATCTGTCAAGGGTAAAACTAACGGTAAAAGGTACCCTCAAATGTTGGGAATGCCTTTGGAATATGAAAATGGAACGCCTGCTGTCCTATTCGCCGGTGAAGCTACCCATCCTTATTATTTTTCTACAGTGCATGCTGCTATTGAAACGGGATATCGAGAAGCTGATAGACTGATTGGTTTATATAGACAAAAGGTGTAATAGAAGCTTACTAGCACTAGCTTAATCAGAGAAAAAAGGAGACGTCTACTCGTATACTGTGGTACAGTTGTCGACAATAAAAAGTTTTTGACCTAATGAATCTATGAACGTATTTCACTAATGAAAAACATATACAGGGTGGCCCAATAGTGCGACAAAGTTCAATATCTCCCTTATTATAAAGTTTTGAAAAGAAATATTTTATGGGAGTGATGTACTTAAAAAAGTTCACATTTTAAAAATATTTTGAATTATACATGGTGACGCATTAGGGCGGAGCATCTTTAAGGTGGTTTTTCTTAAATGGAACACTGTATATTTTTATAAATTTGTATTTTCACAGAAATTTCTCTTTCCAGCGATGTCTTTCATGTTCGATGAGGCAATGCCAAGTTGTTTGAAAAAATAAGATAATTTTCTCTATAAATAAATTCTATAAATCTATTAACTGTGCAGGTACTACCAGTAATTAAGAAAAAATATTTTGTAGGCATGCGGACCAAAGATGTGGACAAACAGCAAAATAGCAAAATCCTTATAATTTTGTACAGGGTGTTCTACATATAAACCTAGCCCCAGTTTAGCGAATTTCGAAGGACATTTTCTCTATTTTTGAAATGAAATACCCGGAATAGTATTTTATTTTCGGATTAATATGCTAATTACCTACATCTTTTGTAAATATTACCCTTTGCCTAAAATCACTATTTTCGGAAATATTGTCACTTTTCTAACAAAATCCCTTTAATTTTGCAAATTTTAGGTTTTTTTAATCTAATAGGCATAAAAGGCAGTTTGACATAAAATAACAAAATTTATAATTTATCCTTTATCCGCCAACAGTAACAAAATTAAAATTGTTAAGCTAATTGTTTTTGTCCGGGGCTAACTTGATGGTAATTAAGAAGAAATTGATAAAAACCATAGAAGGTCACAAATACCTTAAAAATTTGTCAGGCCGGGTGGAAAATGTATATTTTTTTCGAAATAATTAGTTAGAAAGTTAAAAATGCTAAATTTAATGATTAAAATTAGATTTTAACAAAATTTAGTAAGAATAAGGAAATACTACGTACAAATGAACAGATTTGAAGAAGTGTTAGTAATAAATTAAATGCTTAGTATAAAAAGAAAAGAAAAATAAATAGGTGCTAACTAAATAAGCAATTTAACTATCTATCTAAATGCTGAAAGTGTCTTCCGTTAAATTGAAAACATAAGTCACTACAGTTCTCAAAAGATATAGGTAGTCAAATTCCTACACATTTCAACGGTAATGCTTTGGAAACAATTCCTTATTCGCATTTTCATATCATCTTTGGTAGTACATTGCCTTTTATAAACCGCCATTAGGGACATGAGCAAGTAACTGTGGTAAATGATTTTGCAAAAAATCTAGGTATAACTCACCCGTTACTCTCCTCTTAAAAAAGTTGGTTCAATAACATATTGACCAACAATTCTTCCACAAACATTTAAACTCCATCTATTTTGTGAGCGCATTGTCACAAAATGCGGGTTTTCTGTGGCAAAATAATGAAAATTATGTCAGTTGACATTACCATTCTTATAAAGGGTCACCTCGTCTCCAAAAAGACAAAATCTGTAAAATCGCGTTCTATTCTAATTTTGTTTTGAATTCACCCGCACTCCTGTAATAATTGGACATTGGACATTGGTCATAGTATGGATGCATTTTATTGTCTTTTAATATTCTTTGAAGACATGTTCTTCCAATATCCATTTGAAGACCAATTTCTCGTCAACTAATATGAGGGTCTTCAGTGACAGCCAAAAGAACGTTTAATTAATTTTATTCAGTGAATGTTCTTTTTTTCCTAACATTTTTACAATAAGCTACAGTACTGGAATTCTCAAAACGATCTATTACTTTTTTAAAGTTCATACACTGGGCTGCCTTCTCTGTCGATAGCGTTGATGATAAACTCGTGTTGCTAATAAAAGGATTTTTATCACTTGCACCCAATACATAAATCATTATCAACCATTTCTGCTTGAGAAAAGTTCATTTGCAAGTATTTTTAAACTTACAACCCAGCACTTGTCACCTACTGACAATTAAACAACAACAGTAAAATTGCAGATTTTGTTATTTTGTTAAACTCAAGGTCTACTATAGTAATAAAATTAAAGGGGTTTTTGAAAATAGTAGAAAAGTGCAAATATTTCCGAAAATAGTGATTTTAGGCATAGGGTGTTATTTAAAAAAGTTGTAGGTAATTAACATATTAATCCAAAAATAAAATAATATACGGATGTTTCATTTAAAAAAATCGAACAAATTCGAAAAACTGGGGCTTATGTGTAGAACACCCTGTACAAAATTATAAAGATTTCGCTAGTTTGTTGTGTGTCCACATCTTTGGTCCGCATGCCTACAAAATATTTTTTTTAATTACTGCTAATGCGTCACCCTGTATAATTCAAAATATTTTTAAAATGTGCGCTTTTTTTAAGTACATCACTCCCATAAAATATTTGTTTTCAAATCTTTTTAATAAGGGAGATATTGAACTTTGTCACACTATTGGGCCACCCTGTTAGGTAGGTACCTGATATTTTGAATTAATTAAAACAACAAACTTCAATTCTAACGTATTGTTTGCCATTAAATGTTTCTAATTATCTCATATTCATTTTATGTTACTAGTTCTTGATTTTAATGATTGCTACAACAAATTTTATTGAAGAATGTTTATTTTGCAATTAGACGATACAATTTTCTATACATTTATAAAAAAATACTAAAATTATATTATATAACGTAATTTAACGGTCAAACAGAAACATTTACAAGGTTTTAACTATACACAAAATGTAAAACAATCGTTATGTTTCTTGTATATTCGAATTGACTGTCTAAATTACAATTATTCTAAACTATTACTAAAAAGATATTTTCAAAATTGGTTCCGAAAATGGTTCTGTTTCAGAAATAGGTAGTGAACTTATTTGATACATTACAAATACCAACCTACATTAATTTATGTTAAATCTACGGCCTCTCACTCCTGTAGTTAGAATTTTGAGGAAACCTGTTCCTGTCCACTTCAGAATAGATTCTTCCTTCAGGATTCTTCTTCACTTCCCTAACATTGACATCAGTCGACACCTTAACAGGATACTGAGGCTTCCTGTTATCACTCTCATCGTAGCTTGATTTGGTATAAGGCTTCCTCATTTGGTATGACGATTCTGGTGAGAAGTATCTGTTTTCGTATCTGTCTCTTTGGTCGTATCTGTCTCGTAAATTGCCGTTTGGTGGGGTTCTTGATATTTCTGGTAAAGTGGCGTAGTAGACTATTCTCCTTTGCCTGCCTTTGCTTCCATTGTAGTTATTGTGACTGTTGTAGTTGTTGTAGTTGTAGTTATCGTATGGTTTCTCAGCGTAGTCTCTATATCTGGATCGAGTAGGGTAGTCATCGTAGGGTTCCCTTGAGTCGTAGTTGTAATAGCGATCATTCCTGCAACATTATATGTATGTCAAGAAAGGTAGGTAGGCAGGGCGACGGGAAACTATAAGCAAAAAATTAGGAGTAGATTCTACTCAAAAATAATAGATAATAATAAAAAGAATTATAAAAGGATCACCTTAAATTTTTTTGAATTTTATTGAAAACATAACACCAGCATAAACTTTCTTGGAAGAAATTGCTTGAGCGCATACAAATCCATGTAGATCAAACCTAGCCTTTAATAAGGTTCTTTTCACATCATTTTAAAAACTGGTGAGGCATCGTTAGAAAAGGTGCAGCGCCCATTTGCATAGAAATGTCTCACTGGAATACCAGTGAGTTATGTACCACAAACAGACAATAGAACAATAAGCAACTAACAGCAGCTTTACAAAAAACAAACGAGAGTCGTCTCGGCATCACTGAAGTTTATGGAACATCATAACGTACTCTGCAGCGAAATAGAATATTAGAAATCCATAAAAAATCAGTAATGGATTCTAACTCTTTATTCGTGAATGAAAAAGTGTATGAGGGAAAAATGTGCGTGACATATTCAGAAAACGCAAGTAAATGATTTGCATTAACCAAGACGATGTCGAAATAAATTGCATACACATTTTGTTGCCGTTGCTTTAAAAAAGCAATCCATGTTTGTCAATGATTAGCACGACAATTGGAATATCTACAATCATATTTCAATTTACCATAATAGAAGAAAACCAACTGTTAGATAACTAGTACTACCAATCGATAACATCAGCCAAAACTATTATTCTTGCGCTATGCTCCAACGCCAAAAGCTTCCTACCACTAGATTGCATCACAAAAGGAAAAAATAAAGAATAAGGATTGCTTGCTATCTGGAGGCTTTATCGAGTCCAGTAGGGAAACGGAAAATGCTGATGTCATTAGTCGATGACAGCGATGTTAACAGTAGTGGAGAGATATCATAAAATATGAATGCTGGATTGCAAAAACTAGTTCTATGTTACAACGAGCATGAAAACATTTGCAACCTATGTGGAAAGGCACATGCTTTAAAAAAAAATTAATAAATATATACTAGACATCTCCTTCTTTTCAAACTCTCTTTGAAGGAGAACAGAAGTTTGTTAATTTAGTTTTTTAGGTATACATCTCCATTAATATTACTTCAGGATGATATAAAGGCTATTTGTAATTGGAATGACGTAGGTAAATAAACTGACTTTCGATTTAAAAAAATGTTCGAATGTCTTTTACTAACAATCCTTTTTTGTAGGTTCTTGTTTCATGCATAATACTAAATTAGAAAAGTGACTTCCATAACAGATCTTGGTATAGTGATTAATACATCTATCAACTTCAAAGACATTGTTAAATCTGCCTAAAAATCCTTGGGTTTTATAATAAGACAAGCTTGACAATTAAGTAATGTAAAATGTTTTATGTTATACAATGCATTAGGGAGACCTAAACTAGAATGCTGTTTTTCTTTATGACACCCGCAGCTAAAAAAATATCAGAAAATAGTGAAAAATTTCAAAATATCATTTTGTCTTCATATTGCAAATAAGTTCATGTATATTTTTTACAAGCTTTTCGTATTCTTCTCAGCGAACCCTTTCATTTGATACCCATATCATGGGGGTGCATAAGAAATATTTGGTCCGCCATCTTTGGGAGACCGCCATATTGGATTTAGAATGACGTTACTTAGCTTACCATGCATTGCCACCTTCACTAATCTGTTAATTGATTTAACAAATGACTAACACATTATCTCCATATTGGAATTTAATGTTACTCTAAAGCAGGGTTGCCAATGGAATTTCAGTCAATTCCCCTACTCTAATCAAAGATATACGATTTTCTCCCAGAAAGATGTAAATGTAAAACCTCTTTTCTGATCTTATGTTTTTGAGATAGATAGATAGGTAGAAATTGATAAATATCAGAAATCTGTTTGAAGAAGAACTATAACTTAACTAAGAATATTTTTTAAGTAAATTTTAATAATTCTCATTTTTGTCGCCTAAGAAATCGATAGTAAATGTATTTCCAATTGCCGTCTTCAACCATAATCTTTTATTTTCGTTTATTCCAATATATTAGCACAATATAATATAAATCAGTAGGAAGAATTGTACTGTGATCTAATACAAATAAGTACGGACGGTTAAAACCGTCGTTAGACGGTTGCTAGCAACAATTATTTTGTAGACGGCCTCAATCTACTTCTTCAAAACATGGCGGTATTTGTTTTCTTTTGAATAATCTGTATTATGTTCATTTATGAATTTGCGAATTTGCTTGAATATGTTTAATGATTGATGCATTATCTATATTAGTGAAGTAGTTTCAACTTTACTTTTGTCTGTAAAGGTGCAAAGAAGCAGTTCCTCCAAGAAATTCAAATATCCGCTACAGTTATAGACAGAACAGAAAAATATCTACTCTTTTTTAATATGGTAAACTTACTAAAGGTCATAATTTTTTTACCTTAAAACCTATTCACAAAAAAAATGTATGTCATTACTGATTTGAGCTGTATTATGGTTACTGAAGTATAAATGACAAATGATCAAATGACATGTAATTATAATGATTATATAATTCATTAGAAATTTAGCCAATAGCAATTACAAATTTTACGTAGTTACTATGTATTGATAAGCGATTATACTCTTGACGACGTGGTATAACCGTTTTGGTGTTTCGCCTCCTCCAACAATGTGAACTATGTCATGGTAACGNAAATTGCATACACATTTTGTTGCCGTTGCTTTAAAAAAGCAATCCATGTTTGTCAATGATTAGCACGACAATTGGAATATCTACAATCATATTTCAATTTACCATAATAGAAGAAAACCAACTGTTAGATAACTACTACTACCAAGCTTGTTTCATCGATAACATCAGACAAAACTATTACTCTTGTGCTATGCTCCAACGCCTACCACTAGTTTGCATCACAAAAGGAAAAAATAAAGAATAAGGATTGCTTGCTATCTGGAGGCTTTATCGAGTCCAGTAGGGAAACGGAAAATGCTGATGTCATTAGTCGATGACAGCGATGTTAACAGTAGTGGAGAGATATCATAAAATATGAATGCTGGATTGCAAAAACTAGTTCTATGTTACAACGAGCATGAAAACATTTGCAACCTATGTGGAAAGGCACATGCTTTAAAAAAAAATTAATAAATATATACTAGACATCTCCTTCTTTTCAAACTCTCTTTGAAGGAGAACAGAAGTTTGTTAATTTAGTTTTTTAGGTATACATCTCCATTAATATTACTTCAGGATGATATAAAGGCTATTTGTAATTGGAATGACGTAGGTAAATAAACTGACTTTCGATTTAAAAAAATGTTCGAATGTCTTTTACTAACAATCCTTTTTTGTAGGTTCTTGTTTCATGCATAATACTAAATTAGAAAAGTGACTTCCATAACAGATCTTGGTATAGTGATTAATACATCTATCAACTTCAAAGACATTGTTAAATCTGCCTAAAAATCCTTGGGTTTTATAATAAGACAAGCTTGACAATTAAGTAATGTAAAATGTTTTATGTTATACAATGCATTAGGGAGACCTAAACTAGAATGCTGTTTTTCTTTATGACACCCGCAGCTAAAAAAATATCAGAAAATTGTGGAAAATTTCAAAATTTCATTTTGTGATCATATTGCAAATAAGTTCATGTGTATTTTTTTTAAACAAGCTTTTGTGGGAAAAAATATCTTCTCATTTTTAAACATGGTAAACTTACTAAAGGTCACAATTTTTTATCTTAAAACTTATTTACAAAAAAAGTATATGTCGTTACTGATTTGAGCTGTATCGTGGTTATACTGACCAAACTGAACTATGACTGACAAATGACGTATGATAGAATAATGACTAAAATGATTGAATTAGATTAATTACAATCCCACGAAAAATAATTTACCTGTAGTTAGAATGTGATGATGGAGGCATGTAATTCCTAGTATACCTTGGTTGGTAATAATACTCCATATTCCTGTAAGGATCCCTACCCAAATTCCAAGACAACTCCTTATTTAAATTCCTCGCTCTGGCCTCTCGATCGTATCTGGTATACTCAGGGCGTGGTGAACTTTCAGACATTCCTTGTGTCACAAAATGCACTCTTGGTGCTCTAACGATTTCTTTTTCAGTCGGTGTAGCCGAGATATCTTCGAGTTCTTCTCTTCTTCGAACCGGATAGACCTGTTTCACCCATTGATCCTTGGTAGCACCACGAGTTTCTCTGGGCATGTCGTCGTCGTGGTCTCTGTGGTCCATTATTAATTTTTCTGTATGTGGTGGTTGGATTTCCTCCACTAGGGATTTGGGATCATCGTCAGAGCCGTTTGATTTACTAGGATTGGAAAAATCAATTCATTTATTGATTAAAATACAAGGTGTTCCAGTGTCAGCATACAAAAATTTACCAGGGGGTAGACCAGACCATAATAAGGTTAAAATTCTTATAAAATATTTTTCTGCAATGCACTCTTACTGAGTTACAGGGTGTTGTTTAGAAAAAACTAATAACAACTTTCCGCAATAACTCAAAAACCCTTTAAGGGATTTAAGTAATTTTTGGGTGATGTGTACATCTATTAAAGGTCATTAAAACTACGTGGTGCTTATTTCGACCTGACGCCAGGGGGGCCTAGGCCAACTTGTCCTCAAGATTGTGTCTTTATAACTTTTGCATATCCTAGTTTTATGTAATTTGATTGCGTTTTCCTGAATCTGCAATCGATTCTGAACAAAAAATGGGCTCTTGTTTCATAGCTCAAAAATAAATCGTTTTCAAGTAAATTAGGTCTAACGTATCGACTACATTAGTTCGTAGAATAATGCATGTAAAGATTTTATTTCTTGTTATCTAGTAGGTACCTACCATTATAAGTAACAAAGTTGTTTACCGTTAAGGTACAGTTTCCCATGTAGCTGCGGCTCAATGAATATGAAGAAACTAAATAAGTTTTCTATAAATTATTTAATATTTGGTTACGTATAGGGGAACTAAAAATAAAATTGAAAATTATGTAACAGAAACGAAATTGTTAGCAAAATGACAATATTAAAAATAAAAATAGATATCAACTATTTCAATAAATGCTCGAAATGTATTTACTTCAATGCATGCCCGACATCGTTTGACCAGGGAATTGTAAACCTTCGTAAATCAACGGTTGCTTGAATTTGCTCGGTATGGCTGTATTAATTTTTTGAAAAAAATCGACTCGTGTTACTGGGTTTGGCATACACCAGTTGCTTCATATGAACCCAGTAAAAAAATCAAGGGGGTTGAGGTCAGGGAACCTGAGAGGCCACATAATAGTTCCATTTTTTCCAATCCAGAATTCTGGAAAATGTAAATCGAGCCACGCAGATGTCTGTCTTCCGTTACGAGTAGGTGCTCCATCTTGTTGGTGGTATATTTGATTTCGCAAAGCTAAGGGAACGTCATCTAGTACGCCATCAACAATATTTTCTAAAAAATCCGGGTATCTCTCTGAATTCAAACGGTCTACAGTAATTTGAGGAGGCAGAATGACTCCGTTGAAAATTCATTCCCAGACATTTATGGAGAATCTTCTTTGAAACGCTTAGGGTCATATCACATGCGGATTTTCAATGGATCAAATCATGAAAATTTTATAAATTATTTATAGCTTTTCTCGTAAAGATAGTTTCATCACTCCACAATATCTTTCGATGGAAATTTTCGTCATTATCGATAGTTTCTAACAACCTCCTGCAAAATTGTATCCTTTATTCGAAATCACCAGGATGCAAAGTTTGTACTTTATGTAGGTGGTATGGGTGCAGTTCTCGGTTTAAAATTCTCTAGACGCTACTTCGTGAAATACCTACTTGCGTTAATATTCTTCGGACACTGGTGGAAGGATCATCAACAACAGCAACTATTACATTTTCTTCTAAAATGCTTGCATCTTCCAAATTACCTCTTATTCTGGTATTTTCAATTTTAACACTCCCGGTCTCATTTACTATTCGGAAAACTTGTTGGAATACGTGCTGTGAAGGTTGCCTTCTGTTTGAAAACCTGCGTAGATGCCACCACTGAATTTCCATGACAGAAACCGTAGATAAATATCAAAGCGGCATATTCGTTGTTGGAAAATTTGATAATACTTAATGTCTTGTTGTTTTGTAAACTTAATTTCTCGTAACTTCGAGTACAGTAAATAATTTTGACATGTACGCTTATAAACAACTTTGTTTTTTATAATGACAGGTACCTATTAGATAACAAGAAATAAAATCTTTACATGCATTTTTCTTCGAATTAATGCAGGCGATACTTTAGACCCAATTTACTCGAAAACGGTTCATTTTTGAGCTATGAAACAAGAGCACAGTTTTTGTTCAGAATCGATTGCAGATTCAGGAAAACTTAATCAAATTACATAAAACTAGGATATGCAAAAGTTATGAAGACATAACCTTTGAGGACAAGTTGGCCTAGGCCGTCTCTGGCGTCAGATCGAAATAAACACCATGTAGTTTTAATAACCTTTAATAGTTATACACTTCACCCGAAAATGACTTAAATCCTTGAAAGGGAAATTCTTAGTATTTTTTTCTAAACAACACTCTGTAACTCAGTAAGAGTGCATCGCAGAAAAATATTTTATAAGAATTTTAATCTTATTTTGGTCTAATCTACCGCCTGATAAATTTTTGTACGCTGACACTGAACACCCTGTATAAATAGTATAAAGAAAAGAAGATCTTTAGTTGAGAAAAAAAACTAAATCTAAATGTGACAGAATTTAAAGACAATGTAATTTTTATTATCTTTAACGTTCAATCGTTCAATCTAATGGCTATTATCACAGTCATTTTTAATACTATTTCAAACTGATTAACGTATTTTGCAAAATATGCAAGTCTATCTACTACAATGTTGACTGTAGAGATACATATATCAGTACTTTTCTAAAAAAAATAGTAAATACAGCAGTTGCAGCAATTTTTCTGAATTTTCAATAACGTTTTCAAGAACAAAATTGAATATAGCTAAAGAACTATGAATCCAAACTTATAATTTTTTAAATTGACAACCCTTATTAAAAAAACAAAATATTGACTCTTCGAAAATCAATGTTTCTTCATTTAAGAACTAAACAATCACGTTTTGTAAAAGTTTGTAAACATAAGTAAATATACCTTAATGCTACAAAAGATGATAAAGAACACTATGCGGAGAGACAATTGAGAATATAAATTTATTACTAACGTGCAATAAAAATGACGCACCACAAAGGAGTATATATTATCTGTTGGCTACAATAACAAAACGTGAGGGAAAAATTGGGACTAATCAATTTGGTCATATTTTGATATCCGTGCCAAATTATGGATCAAAGTCCAAAAGCAGTCTACCATTTGTCGTGGTAAACAACATATTTACCGTTAACACGTATTATAACATATGTCAAGTGTAGATAATCTCATTAATCACGCGATATAGAAAATCAAGAGCAGGACAATAGATATGGAATTCGGAAGTTGATACAATTTTTTAAATAAAAAAAGGAAAAGTTTTAGAACATGTACGAGGTGTAGAAGCAATTTATATAAAAATTATTACATCTATGCTTTATTTTAATTTAATTTATTGGTCAAACTATCAATCGATAACATTGCGACAATGTTGAAGGCGAAAATTTCAGGATATCACTTTATTAGTATGTTTTTTGTGCTTGTTTTCGTCGGCTAGTTATAGGCGTGTTTGTCGTAAACAAATAAATAAAGAGGTAGGTTGACTAGAACAGATTCTTTTCATCTCAAATATAATATAAAGTAGAGCATCAAAAAGAAAAAAATCGTTTGTCAAGTGTTTCAGAAATATGTAACTGTTTCGAGAATATTATCTTTTGATTTCTACTCTGACTGTTATTCCTAAATTAATTTAACTTCAAATAACATACATTTACGAATGTGCAGAAGAAATAGAACGGTATGTCCAATTTACTTACTTTTTGTTTTTCTCGTCTATATCATCCATTAACTTCTTAAGATTGGCCACATCCTTCGCCATCCTCTCTGTCTCAGCAGTAGATCTCTTAAACCGAATAAAGTCATTTATTAAGAAATTCGAAGTTTCGTCACTCTCCACAGCCACTATGACCCCATCCGCAGTCTTCTCAGTGATATTTTCGGGATCAATAACCTCAAGTTCCAAAGGTTTTCCTAGAGTTGTGACTATGCTCTTCCTGTCATTTTCAGATGCATCAGCAGTTGCTGTTGTAGATTCTGTTACGTCTCTTTTTATCCTTTCCCTCAGCTCATCTTCGCCACTGTACTCTTCAGAGTTTGGAATGCCATCAAAGTCACTATCTCCGTACTGAGAGTAACTGCTGCTGAAGAAGTATTCCTTGGGATCTTCTAGGGATTCAGAGATATGAATAGATTTTTGGAAGCGTGGCATTAGTTCAATGTCCATGGCGTTGTTTTGCGGATCGTCATGTTCGAAGTTGAAATGTTCTATTGGGATGTCTTCTATTTGGTGGTAAGCGCGAGTCAGACTTAGCGTAGCTCCAAGTACTATGTGAAATAACATTATGTCTGAAATTGAAAAAAATAATTCATTGTAGGTTGTTTATATTTACATCTTGATTGTCTTAGAAGAACCCAACAATATTTTGTTAAATCCAACCAGGATAAACTTATGAAATATGTTTTTGTTGAAATCTGAAATTTATTAGGAAGAAAGAATAAAAACACCGCCTGAAAATGTGAAAATTGAAATGGTGTTCATAAAGAAGGTTAGTATTTCCATTCAAAGATGAATTGCGTTAGTTTAGGTATATACCTAATAACTGCGTATCATTTATAATTAAATGTTTTGACAGAAAGGCAAAACCCGTGTATATATATCTTACTTTCACTAAAATAGACTTTTTTTCATTATAATATAATTCAGAATATTTCGGATATGTTGGAACAACACAGCATTTTTCAAATTTTGTTTAACATAATTCACAACAGAATATTTTGCACAAAAATAAGATAAATCCAAATTATCTAAAATATTTTGTGAAGCATTTTCTTAGATGAAGTCTCACTGATTTTTATATAGGCTGTCCGCAAATTTCACCGACAACGTTTGAGTGCATATTCACGATGATAAATAAATACGATCTACGAAAAAAAAAGTTAAATAAAAACCTTTTGGTTTTTGAGTTACAGGCCTTCAAAGTTGTCAAAAATAAAACTAATTTAATTAATAACTTCATAACCCTTTTACTGATCGCGTTAAAATTTGGTACATTTAATTGGACTATTCTTGCGTATTATTTGTTAAAGTTTTAGTCAAATCGATATACTGGGTGATAGTTTTCTCCCGTTACTTCTCCCTCTTAACGGTCAAAACTTTTACAGTGGTCGTATTTTTTTAAAACGGGCAGCAACGTTGAAATGGTCGTTTTATTTAAAAAAAATAGTGTCCCTTGACAAAATCGCCTACAGAAAGCCATTCTTGAGAGAAATGGCATTATTTGCAGGTTTGTACGTTTCGGTTTGTATAGCAGTGTCACGGATTTAAAACTTTGAGTTCAGTAGGCGATGAAAACAAGATGTTGAATGCTGTGGCTATCAGGGAATGTAATTATTGTCGTGTTTCTTTAGGATTCTCATCACTCTACACATGCAAATTATGAAGTGTCCGCAGTGTATCAAGACAATTAAACGGAGTTGTAAATTTTCATAATTTGCATGTGTGGAGTAATGAGAACACTAAAGAAAGACGAGAATAATCACATTACCTGATAGCTACAACAATCAAGATCTTGTTTTCATCGCAAACTCAAAGTTTTAAACCGAAACGTACACACATGCAAATAATGCCATTTTTCTCAAGAATGGCTTTCTGTAGGCGATCTTCTCATGAGACAATATTATTTTTTAAATAAAACGACCTTTTCAATGTTGCCGCCCACAAAATACGACCACTGTAAAAGTTTTAACCACTAAAAAGGCAGGGAAAGGTAACCAGAGAAAACTATCACCCAGTACATCGATTTGACTAAAGCTTTAAGAAATAATATGCAATAATGGTCCAAATAAATGTACCAAATTTTAACGCGATCGATAAAAGGGTTATGAAATTATTAATTAAATTAGTTTTATTTTTGACAACTTTGAAGGCTTGTAACTCAAAAATCAAAAATTTTTTATATAACTTTTTTTCGTAGATCGTCTTTATTTATCCTCGTGAATGTGCAGTCAAACGTTGTCGGTGAAATTCGCGGACACCATGTATAGTTGCCAAAATAACTCCTTGCTGACATATCGAAAAAAACATTATACAGGATGATTCAGGTTTAATCTGGATAATTTCGGGACAACAGGTTAAAATATTGTTCATTCATAATATAAACATTCATATTTCCTAAATCGCATCATTTCGGAGATAGAGGGCGTTGAAATAGGAATTTTTTCCCTTTTCTTAGCTGTAGAAATACTTTTGAAATAATACTTTTAACGATGATTTCCACAAACGTCAGTTTATACAAATCATTGTGAGTTTTGTTTTTCGTGGGTTGCTATAACTTTAAATGAAATTTACGCGGCTGGAAGCTACACTGTCACCGATTTCATTGAATATCTCAGAAACAAGACCAAATATTGAAAAAAAACAAGAGACGAAAAAGTTTCAAAATTAATGAGACAAAAGTGGTGTGCAGCTGTTTTATTGAAATTAATTAATTTTTTTGAAGTTTTGCACAGAAAATATACTTCTAAGAGGGCTAGGTGGTTCAAATTTAAGAAGCTTATGTAAGATCATAAGGAGTGTGAATTTCACCTCAATCTGAGTGGTTCAAAAGTTATGAGGAAAAAGCGGGAAAAAATTTTATTTCAACGCCCTCTATCTCCGAAACAATGCGATTTAGGAAATAAGTTTATATTATCATGAATGAACATTATTTTAACTTGTTCTATGGATTCCTGAAGTTATCCAGATTAAACCTGAATCACTCTGTATACGCATTATAATGTAAATTGGTAAATTGTGTTATAAGTTATATTAGAAAAAGAGTAGAAGATGTTTCCTTGAGAGTGAAGAACTACGGATGACCTTCGCAATAACCAAGAACTGTTTGTGCGAGTGCATTGTAACTTCAACAGACATATTAGGTTATGCTTGCTGCAAAATGGAAATTCGAGAATATTCTTTAAATTTAATTTTGCATCTCTTGTTTTTCGTTTGTATTAAATTTTATTTCAAATAAATAACTTTACCTAGTACATGTCCCATAGTCATAAATTATCAAACATTTTTCATTAATTAATAGCAAATTATTCTTAATGTTATTATTAAATTACCAGCTTATTGACAGAAAATGTCAATTTATTAATATGATAAATAACAATTTATTTGTTATGACATCCGCCTACTTTATGTTTACAAATTTTCGCAATTACCCCTTTCGTGAACGATGACGCATCTAATTTTTTTACTAGAAAACTATCGGTTTTATCGAAAAATTATAAGAGGTAAAAAAGTTGCGCAATAAATCAGTCATCCCAATAAATATTTTTAGATAAATAATTTTCATCATATAAAAAATTTCTAATAAAATATTGTAATGGGGTTGACTGTTTCACTCCTTTATAAAATACGCCAATAATCGAACAAATATTGAAAAGTTGTCTCTTTATTAGTAGGATGCTCATACCAAGTTTCGTATCTCTAGCATTCCTCATGTTAAAAAAAAATTAAAATGTGAATTTCAATCCCCTCCTTTAAGAGGGTATATCGCCTCAGGGGTGCAACTTTCATATAAGGTATTTTTACTTTAATCCTCTTATTTTTGGCTCTACATTCACTGGTACCATTTTTGCTACTTCATTTAAAAACACCCTGTATTATGTAACTTCATTTGATGAGACCAATTTTAGGATTTGTTTTAGAATTACTTTGAATTAACTTAATACTTTTACATTAAAGTTGCAAGGTAAAATATTAGAATGTGTATGATTAAAAAAATCTATTTTTTCCTTATTTTAGATCAGCAGATATTTGATAGAATACCTAACTTTAAAATCATAATTTTCCCTTTATTTCTAAAACCGCCGTTCGGCATATATGCTGTATTATTACCCCTACTATTATGATTGATATTTACTTTACCGAACAGTTTTCGAACAAATTCTAGACAACACGAAACAACTATTTACAGCGTTAACTTCAAAACAATAAATATCCACATCTAGCTGTTCCGGTTCTTTCATTTTATTTCCGGAATGACAGGCTCTCATGGGTCATTGTATCGAAGCAAAGCAAAAATCATACGACCTCATTGGTCGAATAACAAAAATTGGTAATAACCTTGGTTCACACGAAAATTAACGGATGGTTAATTTTTGCGATGCACGGTGCATTTGTTTATAAATGAAAAAATCGAACTCCTGAAAATATTATACATATGCTTATTTTATTAGTGCAGTATAAGTTAAAAGTCCTTTAATTCTAGTAATATACAGGGTACTGAAAAAAAGGTTCAGCCACTTGTGATGCTCATTAATGTTCCCATAAACTTGACCCCGAAAATATTTTGTTTCCAAGGTACAGGGTGTTAAAATAGTTGAATGAGTTTGACGTAGATTAATGGATCTTGGACTGGTGAATATATGTAGTATAGATAAAATTTATTGAATTTTTATACAATTTTATTAACCAGCAGTAGAAGGCATCGTCATTAAAGAGTATTCTAGAAATTTAATAAATTAATTTCATTTCTAATTGTATTTCAAATATTTCTTTTATTTTCTCTGAAAATTTTGAATTTATCGAGTTATTTTTTGGCCCAAATGAAGTCACCAGTTGAATATATCGAAAAAAAACTAACCACAATGTACATTTAAGTATATTTTCCTGCATTAAGGGTACTTCTCGGTATAATTAAATCCTCCCAATTCATTTATAGCTCTAATCCGGAGATAATGACCAAAAACGCAGGTAATTTTTGGGATATACATGTGAGATAGCCAAGTTTTATTTCTCAAAAAAAAAATATAATTTTTTAAAATCAATGTGGCCATAGGCAGTCTGTAAAAGTTAGTAGACTAGAAATCTGTTCCATGCTATTTTAAAGTTTAAAATTTCTACGTCATTGAATTTTCCGTGCTTTTAAAGAGCACATTATTTTTAAAACATTTGCAATAAAAAAATTCCTGTAAATTTTGTTGTGCAGCCAAATTTCAAGACGATATAGGTATGACAAAAATATATCTTATACAAATTTTAAACTTTTTCAAATTTTAACACTTATTTTACAGGAACTGTTAAAAATGCATTGTCACATACAGGGTGTTTCAGAAAGACCTCCCGTAAATACAGGGGGTGATAGTACGACAAAAAAATATAAGAATTTTTTATTATATGGACTATATGACTATCTGCTCTTGCTTTCGAGATACAGAGCGATAAAATAAATCTTTTTAAATAGAATATTTGCGAAAATTTCCAAATGGTGCGAAATATTTTTATGAAATTTAGTTCTCAGGGGTTTTTAAAGACCCCAAATAAGCTGGTCTAATTATTTTTTGGATATTTCATAGAG